AAATTTTATATAAAACTAATTTAAAATATTTTAATTAATGAATCTCCATTTATATTTTTAAAATATAGATTAAATTAAACAAAATTTTTAAAAATTTAAACTTTTTTTGAGCTTACTTCTAAATTCTAAATTCAGTGAATACGACAGACCATTATTTACTAACCACCAACACTTCTATGGAGAAAAGTATAAGCAATTCAGGAAAATGACAGGCGAAATGGAATAAAAACCTGCGGCTGCATAATTGCACGTCACTGGCAATAGGGCCACGGTACATGGGAGATGAAGATTAAAATGTAGTAGCTAGGCTCCAAGAATTGGAACTTCCCAAGTGAAAAAAATACTGTACACTGTAATTCAGAAGCAGTTGAGTTTAGGCTACGTGCTCAAGTGAAAACATTTCTGGGCTTTATTGTTCGCACATTTTAGGGATTAGTCTGTCCTAATTGCTGGACAAAAAATCATGCACGTGGAATGCTTGCCCTTAATTTCCAAAATATCCAAAATGTGGGTCTGCCTCTAAAAGCATCAGATTGATTGAATTTTGGCTCCTCCCTTTCGGTACTAGCAAGAAAAAAAATTAAGCAATCAAACATTAGTGAAATTTTTACCCCCCAAAAAAATTGTTGCAAGATTTGATGACTTTGAAACGAAATATATATATATATATATAAAGTGTAATGTAGTTAAATTATATACTAATTATTAGATTAGCATAAATCTCTTAATATTAAAGCTTTTTTTTTTCTATTCAATAATTCTTGTTTTATTATTCAGTATAATTTAAATTGTAAAACAAAATTCTTTATATATATATATATCATTGGCAAAGATCAAACAGCTGAAACAAGTTCAACCCAAATTAATCCTTAAATTTTTAAAATTTAATCATGGACTTGCTAATCACATTAGGACTAAATAGTTGACTGTGAATTTTATAAATTTTTTTTTCTAAACTTGAAAATGTATCAACTGTCTTGCTATCACTATTCACTAGCTAGCAGGCAGGTTTTAATCAAGTTTCCTGCGTCACATGGAATCATAGATACATATAGATAAATTTTTACTTATTACGTACTCGCCGGCTTAGGAGTGTATGTTTTAAAAAACATAAATATATATAAAGATACATTATATTATACTTAAAAGACATAGTTATTAAATTTTTAACCATATATATATTACATTTTAACATTTTTTTCTTTTTAATATAAAATGTCACATATTTTAACTTTACCTCACATATAAACTTATACTCTAACAAACATGTCAGAGAGACACAAAAGAGTTTTTTTTTTTTTTTCTTTACTAGCAGAGGAGAAATTTAGAAATATTCAGTGATTTCTCAATTGTTATGGATAACGAGTGATGTGAAGTCAATTACAAGATCATGAGCTCACAAAAAAAGACATATAATGAATATGGACGGTGAGAAATTAAGAGAGAATCATAAGTCTAGCTAGGGCAACCCCACACTAGTTTTGTCATGTAACAAAGAATTTCACGTAACCCCTGTTTCTAGGAAAGTGTAGGTGACAGCCACATTTTGTTCTCACTGTTCAATTCTTTTCTTTTTTTTCTTTTTTTTTTTTACATGACAAAACTAAGGCTTGTGCACATCATATATACTATGATTTCATTAATCAGTGTTGTATTATGCTATATTATAAGTTTTTGTGTTTTTTATCTCCAAAATTTATAAAATATTTATTTAAAATTATCGAAAAATATAAATAATTAAATAAAATTAATTATTTATAATAAATTTTTATTTGTAAATAATATAATGAGAAAAAATGCCATGCACAACACTCTCAAAGAAAATCCAAATTTATCTCTTTGGTGTGGTTAAATTAAAGAAATTTTTTTTTGAATAAAGGAAATTTTAGAAAAAAAAAAAATATATTACATCTGTTTTAATAGAAACTTAAATTTTAACATTATTTAAGATGTTTGACGCACATCCTCAGTTCATTAGGGGTGCTAGTGCAAATTAAAGAAATGTTATTCACGTGAAAACTAAAAAAATTCACTAGTATTTCTAAAGAATCAATCTATGGTGAATAAATATAGGATGCCAGACATTCTTTGCTGGTTAACAATGACATTCTGCTGGCGCATCTTTTCAAATACCCCACTGCCTTCGCAAAGCAGAAAATCCTGATCAAGTGCTCACACATGACTAGTAGTGCTCCTCCTTCCCTGCCTGACGATGACCCCAATCATGAACTTCAACTGTCTGGCGATCGGAATTTCGCCCTTCATGGTGAAATCACGATGCTTATTCTCCTCCTCCTATTTGCCATCTTTATTCTCTTCCTCCTCCTTTTCCTCTGCATAAAGCGCTCCCGCAGTAACCTCCAAAACTGGGATTCCTGTGAGGAGCACGACTCCACCAAGAATTTCCCCTGCGCCGTTTTCCAGCGGGGAAAGTGCCTTCATCAAAACAGGGAGCATCGGCCCCCAATCCATGAATCTGCTGTGTAGATCAGATGCATGCTGGTGCCGTTAATATCTCAAATAAATAACGAGACCAGGCGATGCCAAATCATTCTAGCATAAAAGATGAGAAGAGGGAGATTGGTAATGGTAGGGTATTTATCTTCTGCAGAGGATCATTCCAGGGCACTACCGTATTGATATGTCACCAAGCAATTGCTTGTAATGTAATTAATGTTTATCATTATTTTTATCTCCCTTTAAACTCTCTGTATTTTTTTGTTCATCTCTTGGTTTAAAATCTTTCTATTAATAATTCCCCAAGGTTTGGTTCTTATTCTCTTGAACAAGTTATAATTGTGTGCAGCAGATGGGAATGAGCACAGGTCACTAACTTGGTGCGCAGATAAGGCTAACAGTTCGAGCATTTTTACAGAAAAATTAGCAATGAAATTAGTGATATTGGATTTGGATTATGTGCTAATGCTTCTCTAATTTATTCCCTTAATTTGGAAAAACCTCTCCATTTGCCTGACAATCAAAATGTGATCCAGAATTAGCAACATCATTCTTTTCACCCTAAAAAAGGGGAAAAAAAAAAACATCCTTTTGTCATATTATTCTACTTTTGTAAATGATTAAATACTCACGTCAAAGGCGTATTAGCTCAGTT